AACTTCTATCATACTTTTATAATGAATAAGTTTAATAAAAGTATGATAGAAGTTTAATAAATATTTCATATACAGTAAACGCTACATGGCAAAAACCTTTAAATGGTTTTAGGCTTACACATTTCAATCTGATCATCAAAATTACAAGTTTTAATGATAAACTATTTTTATAGTTTATTAATTCTATAATAATTCAAATAATTTTTTACTTTAAAAAATCTCAGTTTACGTATAAAATTAAAACAATAAATTGATTTCTTAAACTTAAAATTCACAATTTAAACTAATTTTATTTAATATTTAAAAGTATTTAATACTGTATAACATATCATCCCTACTTTAATCAAGATTACACTATTATACTCTACAATGTACAGTATTATCGGTAAATAATATTTATTAAATAGTTATAATCCTCATTGAAATGATATTAAATTCTTTATCATAGTGTATGACGTGAGAAACGATATGATACTATATATAAAATTTTGCTTGCGATTAGGTTTAACAAAAAAATTTTATTTACTTATTAATAAATATATTTTTTAGTCTTCATTTCGTTAACCGTTTGGTTTGTCTGAAGAAATTGGAAGTAGTTTTTCGAGTCCGGGGTACTTGGTTTTGAGACACTGCAGGTTCGTGATGGTGAGGTATGCCCTGATGCAATTTCTATTATTTTTGGGCACTTTCACGGCATTCGGGTTTTGAGACATCTTTTCCACACAATTCTGCAGAGCTTTCATTGAGCCCTTACTGCAGCCCTCAGTCCTAGTGTTGACACAATTTTCAAATTTGTTTGCAAACTCCGCCTGCTGTCCATTGGTCTTATTAAAACACGTGAAAAGCTTACCCTGAGTGTAGTCGGACACACAGTTGTCCGACTTTGCTGTCAAACAACACATAATTTGTAATTCAATTCATTACAGATTCTGTTGAAATAAATATATATTTACCACAAAAGGCTGCTATCATGAAGAGAGCTTCTTTATAACCTGGAGGCATATTGACCAGATTACCCCCACCTCCACCTCCACCCCCATTCCTACGTACCACTCTTACCCGTCTAACTATGAAATAAATCAAATGGAAAACTGTATTAATTTGTATTTTAGTGTTAAACACAGGTCTATATACCCGGCCCTCGAGACAGAAAAGCCCGGAATAGCCCGCCGGCCAGAAAGAATCCGTCGACTTCTTCGACATTTATGTCAATTAGAAATGAGATAACAATGAGATTTATGCCAATTAAGAGATAAATCTTTGGATATTCTCTCATCTCTTGAAGTCAAATGAAAATAAAATGATATTTTATGTAACATTTGTATACTTTTGATGTCATTTATGTAGAATTCATATTCATTTGAAATCGGTATTCATGGTTCAAATCTCTGTACAAATAATTTGCGAGCTTTTTGTCACGCAATCGGATTCTGTTTATGATAATTGTTTACAAATAATTAGAATTTGAAAATTGTTTACTTTTGTTGAAATTTCTGAATCAATAAAATCTAACCAAAATCAAACAAAATCTAATTAGCATATTAAAAGTCTTAAAATGCTAAATACACTGTATCTTACTTATTAGCATAATATGGGAGTAATTCTAATTGCTTATACTGTATAAATATTCCATGTTTAATCAATTTAATGAGCGGGCTCCTATTCCACAACAAATTATTAAATATTAGGTTAAGTTTATATTATTTTTATTATGAATTAATTATACAGATATTAATTATGTTTTAACTCATTTTGCAATTAAGCTAAATTAATTATTACTAATAACTAGAATTCCGATAATTTATCACTAAAATAAATGCAAATAAAATTATTAATAACACTTGACGTAAATCTAGAATTGATAAAAAAGATAAAATTAAAATTTAAAAATTTAAATTATTTTAGCAGTCATGTCCTTGCCATTGGGATTTTTATATGTTTTTGGTAAAGTTGTCAAAGATGAACACTGGTATTTTATGAATTTTTAATGCAATAATTACATTTACATTAATTTAGGACAAGATTGTAATGAAGGTAATGAATTGTATACTATACGGGACTGTCCTCTTACAGGTGACACCCTTCACAATATACACCGTCTTTACATAATAGACCCCGGTTATATCAGAGTTTGGTATTGTAAATGTTTTCATGGTTTAACAATTTATTAAGACTGACTCGTTAGTAGATTTCCTAATTCAAAATTTCAAAATTATTAAAATTAGATTATTTTATAAAGATTATTAAGTTATTATTGTATTATGAATTAAATTTATATTAATGTTGTTTTTGTACTCATTTTGAATAAGTTACTGTTAGAAAATAAAGTCATTTGTAAAGTCAAATTAATTGTTACCTAATAAATATGATCCTGGTGATTTATTACTAAAATAAATATATTTGAATTAATATCTTTAGTCTAGAAACTAGAGCACAACTTTTGTCACGAATCTTGTCAAAACATATTAATTACAAAATATTACTATAAATATTGGTTACCGTTTCAATGCATACAATAAAATTAGGTATTTTGATAAAAGAGATACAATTTAAATATGAAAATAATTATAGCTCTCGTGTCCTTCCAATTGGGATTTCTATGTGTTTTTGGTAAATGTTTACAAAGAATTAATACCGAGAGTTCATTATATTTACATTCAATTAGGATCCGATTGCTGTGGACCTAATGAGGCTGTATATTCACCGACACCTGCCTGTCCCTATACGTGTCAAAACCTGCACCAAATCCATTGCTTTGCCATAATAGGTGAGGCGTCGTGTCAGTGCACTAACGGCACGATCAGAGACACGGCTTCCGGAAAGTGTGTCCCTCAGAGCCGATGCCCTAAGTATTCATTTCAATCATATTTTGAGTTACCTTTTATAATAGTTTTGTTGTATGCATTGAACAGGATAACCACACATGAATGTCCTGCTAATCAAACATATGCTCAAACTATGTCTGCCTGTCCGCCTACATGTACGAACCCGAATGGCCCTATCTGTGATGCCATTATCGATAAGGCCGGATGTGTCTGTATATCGGAAACAGTTCGCGACACCGTTAACAACGTTTGTGTCAAACCTGAGGATTGTCCCAAACAATGAATGTTCAATAAATAACATTTATTATGCAAATACTTTTGATTTTGATTTTTTGTATTTACTAAAATTTTAATCAATAAAATCAAACAAAATCACATACTGTATCAGTATAACATTTAATTATTATTAAAAGTCTTAAAATAGTCATAAATAAATCATAATAACACATTCCTTAACAAGAAAATCTTAAGTGTGATATACACCCATTTGGTGTTATACAGTACAGTACATGGTGAATCAATTTATTAAGAATAACCTAGTTACTAATTATTAGAGATGAAGTTATTTTATATATTTATAATTATTTTGTAGTTATATTAATTATGTTTTGTTTTCATTTAATATATAGTTAAATTAATATTTATTTAATAAATATGATTCTGGTGATTTATCTCTAAATATTATAACTAATGCATTTGAAATTATTAATAACTTTAATCTAGAATCTAGAGCACAATATTTATAATAATCCTTTTGAAAAATAAATCTATCAATTACAAAATTCTTATAAATATTAGGAATTGTTTCAATTAATTTCATAAAACCAATAGTTTAAACATTTAATAAGACTAGTTTGTGATGGAGATTATGAGTATTTGTCGTAATATACACCTAACTGTCCTATCACATTTCAAAATTGCTATTATACTCTACTTTAATATTAAACAGTATGCTTCAATCATATGAAAGCTAAGTTGAGATATACTGTAGGGTTTGCTTTAATGTCTCTCATTCGGTGTTTTTTAATTAATAACTTTAGTCAAGAATCTAGATCACAACTTTTGTCATAAATATTGCACAAACAAATTCATCAATTATAAAAATTCCTATAAATATTGGTTATCGTGTCGATTCATATAATAAGAATTTGGTGTTTTAATAAAAAATAAATTATTTAAAACATGAAAATAATGATAACTCTCGTGTCTTTTCAATTGGGATTTCTATGTGTTTTGGGTAAATGTCAATAAAAATTAATTTTAAATAAAATAACTATTATTTACAATAAATGAGGATCCGATTGCAATGGACCTAATGAGGCCGTATCATCACCGACACCTGCCTGTCCCTATACGTGTCAAAACCTGCATCACATCCATTGCTTCGCTCTCGAAGATGTGGCGTCGTGTCAGTGCATTACCGGCACCATCAGAGACACCACTTCCGGACAGTGTGTCCCTCAGAGCCAGTGCCCGAAGTATCCATTTTACTGTTAATACTATTTTGAGTTAACTATTATTAATGTAAAGTTGAATTCGTTGAACAGACTGACCACACAGCCTACATGTCCTGCGAATCAAATATATGCTCAAACTATGTCTGCCTGTCCGCCTACATGTGCTAACCCGAATGGGCCCTTGTGTCAGGCGATTATCGTTAAGCCCGGATGTGTCTGTATACCGGGAACAGTTCGCGAGACCACTAACAATGTTTGCATCAAACCAGGAGATTGTCCCAAATAATGAACACAATATTCAATTAGGCATATCAATAGAAAATATAGAAAATAAGTATAGTAATTGATAATGATAATATAAACACGGTATATTTTGAGTGAATTTTAAAAAAAACTTATGTTGAATTCATTGAACATAATAAGTTATTATTAATAACTAACCTCAATGTGCGGTATAATGAGGTTAAATATAATTTAATAAATATGATTCTGGTGATTTATCAATAAAT